CCAATCAATATCAGTCAATTCCCAGTGAGGACTTGGTGTATATCTGCTTGCTTTATCTTTTATACAGTTATCCTTTATCAGCCCGTTTTACAAAGATAGCTCACACAGTTGCATTACACTCTGCAGAGCTCATTTTCACCCCAGAAAGCTCAAAACTACAATCTGTCACTCTCACTAGTTCCCCTCTGAACAATTGTTACAAAGACCAGATGGCTTTTATTTGTTTCTTGGTGATCTGATAGAAATGTTGCCTTCTTGGATGTCTAACAAGTTCCAGAGCTCTCTTTATCAAGTAAATACCTCTGTGAGGTTCTCTGAGGTCTTGTTTTCATTTCAGTTTCTATCCAAATACAGACATGCTGTGGGCATCAGAGCAGCAGTGCCTTGGCCAGAACAGGGTGACTCCTCTGACTGCAAAATATAATGTTATCACATAGACGTCTGTAAGAGAACAGGGCATGCTTTAGTTCATGTGACTGGTATCTCAGTCAGCTGCTGAATGCAACTGACTCGGTGCTGTAGTGGGGGGATTTTACAAATCAGAGGTCGACATCACAGTGACTTCATCTTATGCACTCCACTTTATCACTCTCAAACCTTTTCCTTCTGCAGAAAACATGACTCTTCTTCTTTTGTCCAGTTATTCAAAGTCCAATATTAGCTGCATGCTATTCTCACAGAGGCAAAATCTTTAACAATGAAAAGTCAAATCAGTAAGAAAAATTTGCACCAAGCGGAAACCAAAGGAAACGAGCTTTAAAGAGCACCAACAAACCATTAGAAAGGGGGAAGTCTGTCCAATATAGTCTGTAAGCTTTTATCATTTATATTTTCATTTCTGCATATTGCCTCAAGCTGAGGACAACAGAGCTCAGAAACTATTAATAGTCATTATGAATGCGTCCACCATGTCTCGCTCGCTGGTCCTCAACACCCCCAAGAGTTCAAAGCCTGGTCTGGAAGTGATGTCTGATCAGATGCTGCTTCATCCAAGTCCTGCTTATAATCAGTGATCAGTGCCAAGGGAAGACTAGAGCCAGAGAGCCAGAGAGAGAGAGAATATATTGGTGCTGGCTCTGGCCCCAGTTCTTGTATAACTCACTGATAATTAGGTTTTTACTGCTGCCAAGTCATAACCATTGCTACAGCTAAGAGGTATGCAGGTGTTGACAGGACATCGAAGTGGACTATTAGCAAATCGAATATAATAGAAGATTGTCAGACTGTTAGACTGTTCTTATTAGAACTGTGTTTTCCTCAAAATAAATACTGCAACACAGAAGAATCACAATTAAGAATTTCCAAGCTATCAGGTTTTTTTCTCTGTGCAATCATTTTATGTATAAAACACACACATCTAATTGTGGGGACATCCAATTGTCATAATGCTTTCTCTAGCCCCTTAACCAAACCTTAACCATGAAAAACGAATGCCTAACCCTTACTGTAAACCTAACCACGACCCAAATATAACCCTTTCACTAAAACCACATTTTGAGTCACACATATGTTTTTAAACTTGTGGGGACCAGCATTTTTGTCCCTATAAGGGCTGTTGGTCGCCACAAGTATAGTAAACTTCCAATTTTTGGAACACACACACATTTTTGCTCTTATTCACGTTCCCATTTTTTCCTGGACTCTATATGATCCTCACATCTGCATCTTTCTTCCAGTCCGCTGCTTCTCCTCCTCCTTCTCTTGTAAGCACGTACCCCCTTTCTTTTAGTTGCTCCTCCTTCTCATTTATATCCTCGTACCCTACACCCTTCTTTTTCCTCCTTCCTCTACTCCATTTCTACCATGCTCTGTTTTGCTTTCCCTCTTTGTTTCCCCAGTCTTGTTAGCACTGGTCATGCATGCTTGACTCCCTGATTAACTAACAACCCAGAGGATGTTACACAGAATCGTGTCTGCTCACCTCAAGAGAGGCATCGATTTGCTGGCAGGCGGTAACCACACAGACGGCTGACACATCCAAATGAGCTTGAGAACAGAAACTGGAGAAATGAATACATGCTGGGAGAGGAAAGAGGCTGCTATTTAAAAATTAGCAGCTTTATTTAGGGGAGAATTCTGTTTAATTAAAGGGGGGCATGAAGTGAAAGACAAATATGATGAATGAGGAATAATATCAGCAATAACAAATGAGTTAATAGATGACATATCTGTTCTTTGAAGCACTGAATACATTTTAAATACAGCAGAAAAATCCCAGGCTCATTGTATGTATGCATGCATGTGTGAAAACTGCTTCCTCAGTGAACGTGTTGTTAGCTTTACAGTTTGTATTTGAAGACAGAAGGTCAGATATTATGCAGAGAGAAATTCCTCAAAGAGATGCAGATGTAAGCAGATTTTTTCTCTTATTCAGTGGATAATTATCCTGTATGAACCATTTTGGCTATTTTAAAGATTTTATCATATATTACAAAAAAGTCTTTTCTTGCTTCTGAATATGCTGCAGTTTCAATAATATCTGTTTAAATTTCTGGCACCAAGCACAGAATCAATCACCACAGCTAATTTTCTAATAATGTAGAATTGCATATGATGATGCGCGATACTAGATCATCTCCAGGATACTGAGA